TACCCCTGCCTGACTTGTTGGATTGGTTTTCTCACTTTTGGTTTTTTACCTGTGCTGTCCAGAGTATGAGGAGCTGGATACCATATTGTGCCAGACAGATTTTACTTTAACAAGAGAGTATTAATATACTCCTTTGTCTGTATTGTTATTTATTCAAATTTATTTGTCACCAGGCCAGGCAGGGGACAGACATGGGGATGGGGAATAGAAAAACCACATAAACAGACAGCACAGAGAGAGGGCAACACCTGCAAGAGAACGGGGATAGGGGGTGGGGACAACAGGAAATAGCAGAAGGAAACCCCAATTGCAGAAAACAACAAAACCTGCAAGAGAACAGGGAGGGGACTTGGGGCGGAGAAAAACAAACACACAAAATAAACAAATAAAAACAAAGAGACAACCAGCCAAACAGCAGCAACAAACAGCTGACATAGGAAGACAATTTAGAGAGAAATGAAAACGGGGGGAAAAAAATAATAAAAAAATTAGGCAACATAAATAAACAACTCAGCGGCAGAACACAACGGCGAAAGCCAGCAGAGAAAAACACCAGCAGCAAGTCCCAGCCCGGCAGCATACGCGCCGCCCAGGCCACGGGTCACCCGCCGATAAAAGTCCGCTGCCCCCCCCCCACCTGCCGGAAAAGCGGGGACCACCAGCGCCGGCCCAACATCCCCCATGCACAGCACACCCTGCAAACAAACCCAGAGCACAGCTCCGCCCTGCACACACCCTGCGCATCCAGACAACCAACTACCTCAGTCTCCAGAGGAGTCCGACAACCGGCTGACAGAGAAACAGGGGAGCACGGATCTGAGGCCAACAAGGCAAACCAAGGACGCAAACTAATCCCCCTAAGCCAACCAGGAAATGCCCCCCCCGGACTCCAATGCACAAACCAACGCCCAGCAGCCCCCCAGAGACCCTGCACATAAAAAAAAAACAATGCATCAAGATGCATCGACAATCGCCCCACAATCCCATTGCAGCCATCTGAACCGCAACCAGACCGACACGCGCCACGCTGCACCCAGAGACCCCCAGACCTGAGGACCCCCCTCTGCTGAAGAGGGCCCTGGCGAGGAGAGGAGACCATGGGCCCCCAGGCCCAGGGACACACCACCCGCCCCAGAAATGAACAAAAACCAATGATCCCACGCCGGGGGCCACGCCAGAGCCAACGACAACCCCGCCAAGCCTCAGGATGGGTCCAAGGGGGCCCGGCGCCCCGGTGCGCAGACCAAACCCAGACCCAGAGATACCAAAGCCCCGAGCCCCAGGCCCCCACACACCCCCGAGGCAGTTCAGTGCAGCGTCGACCTGAGGCCCCCCATCACCGCCGGGGCCCCTCCGACAGCCCCCCCCCACCCCCTGCATGTCTGAGGTGGATGTGATATACAGGTACATATACATAAATACATGTACACATGAACACACAGCATAGTGCAAAGGATGCTGGAATAAATAAGTATTTTGTGCAGGAGTAATGACTTGTTGTAGGTGGATTTGGTATACATTATCTACAATATGACAATATAACAGTATGAACAGCACTGAAAAAGAGAATGGTAAATAAATAATAAGTGGTAACCAGTTAACAGGTGGCTGATTAGAGACAGAGTTACTGGGTTATTGCACATGAATTGTTCCTGACACTGTGAGTCAGAAATCAGCTGTTCATCAGCGTGATGGCTTGTGGGAAGAAACTGTTCCTGGGTCTGTTGGTTTTGGCGTACAGTGCTCTATAGCGCCTACCAGAGGGGAGGAGCTGGAACAGGTTGTGTCCGGGGTGAGATGGATCTGCAGTGATGTTTCCTGCCCTGTTTCCTGTTAACGCAGCCCTGTTCTTCCCCCATTTACATTGATCTGAACTGTCACTTTTGACAAAACCTGGACTCATCACATGGAGTCAAAACTCAGGAACTTTATTCCATAGAGCAGGAAAGTAATCTCTTTCTGCTACACACACAGAACATAACAGATAGCTAAATATACATTTGAATGTGGTAACGTGAAAAAATTGGCCTATACAGTATATTTTACAAATATACATACCCATACACCCAGGAAGTAATTGTCCAGTGCATTTTCTTAATTTGTCTCTGGGAGAATGTAAACGGCAGTAAGATCATAATGATAATATGGTTTTTGTCACGGCTGTCGCTGTTATCCCTGTATTTCCACAATCTGTCTCACCTATACCAAGTAGGCTGTGTGACCCTGTGGTGAAGAAAGGTCTACCTGTGGCATGAAGACCCACCTACTTCCTGGTTTCTGTCCACTCTATTCCAGCACAACCAATGCCTAGAGTCCACACTGATAACCACACTTGGTGTTTTTATGTTAGTTTCATTAGGTGTAGTGGGTGCTGTGCAGCAGGTGCCACTACCTGATAAATCACCTTTCAATCGCTGTCCGGCTCTTTTTCTGCTTCATCTGCTTGAGAGACCCACCTGCGCATCAGTACCCCGTTATCCATTAAGAAGGGTTGCTTACTGTTACACTCTGTTTTTTCTTTGACCACCGAAGCAAAATATGTAACCAATGAGGGATCAACCCTCTGAGCTCTTATCAGAGCATCGTGAGTGAGCGGCATGGGTGCAGGGTCCAACTCACTACTTCTTCAGTCCCATCCCCCTTGCAGCTCACAGGAACATCATGGGGCACACCTTCCTCAGAGAAAGAAAAGTGAATCCGACAGGCTAACTTCCTGATTCCCTTTACGAATCTGTGCTCGAGTAGTGACGCTGGCTACAAAAATGTGAGGATGGGTTTTCACCAACTCATCCTGCTCAGATTCAGGAATAGGATTACTGACTACCTTAGGGACAGGAAACACCTTGCCCCCAGCAATATCATTCCCCATGATTACCTCAATGCCCTCTATTGGAAACTCTGCCCGTACACCCACTGTAAAGAAACCAGTTACCAGATCGGAATGGACATAGATCTGGTGCAGTGGGGCTGGTACGAACCCCATTTCGATACCCCTCACTATGGCACTCACATCAGCCCGGTTGCCCACGGGGAGAATGCCAGACAGGATCAGTGACTGCGAACAGGCTGTGTCCCGCAGTATTCTCACCCGTCGCTGGTCTGCTGCTTTCCCTGTCAGAGAGAAAAAAACGTCAAAGATAAAAGGTTTAAAACATCCGTCAGCTGTCTCACGCCTCTCAAGCTCTAGCCCCTGGGGTCGGGGAGATGTTCTAATCAACCCCACACCCTTTGGTTGCTTTTGACTTGGGCTAGGTTGCTCCCTCTTCCAAGCCCTGCACTCAGCAATCAAGTGTCCAGGCTTGCGGCAAAAGAAGCAGAATCTGTCAGCCTTTTGCCTGGGGGATTATGTTCTGGCTGTTCTGTCTTTTGAAACCCTACCCGCAAAGAAACATCACGCTTGGTGAAGGTGGCCTTGTGCAGTAGGGCAAACTCGTCTGCAAAAATGGCGGCCTGCTGTAAAGTAGTAATTTTTTGTTCACCCAGATACACAGCAGTACAATCTGGCAGACAGTTCTTAAAGTCCTCAAGCAGGATTAGCTCACGCATAGAGGCCACATCATCTGCTTTACACGCTGCACACCATCTATCAAAAATAACTCCCTTTTCGCGAGCAAAATCCGTAAACGATTGACCAGGGGTCTTCCGAAGTCGCCGAAAACGCTGTCTGTATGTCTCCGGCACCAACTCATAAGCCCTCAGGATCGCATTCTTAACGTGGTCGTAACTCAGCCTGTCCTCCACCGACATTGCTGCGCATGCTTCCTGGGCCTTACCGGTAAGTTTGCACTGGAGTAGGATGGCCCACACCTCTTTAGGCCAGCACAGCGCTCCAGCAACGCGATCAAATGCACCAAAATAAGCCTCGACTTCGGCCTCGCGGAAAACAGGAACCAGGGCAATATATTTGCCCACATCATGACCACCGGCAGATTGTGAAGACAACACATTGGCAGAAGTAACGGGGCGAGCAGCGTCAACATTAACCTGTAACTCCAGCTGTCTCATTTTAAATTTTGATACGGCAAAGGGCACTATCTAAACAGGTGAAGAAGGAACTCAAGCTTGCCAAATGCATATATAAAGACAAAGTGGAAAACTTGCTGCGTACTGGCAATTCACGTCCAGCGTGGGTAGGCATGAAAACCATGATGGGGTTGCTGTCCAAAAAGTTTTCAATTACTCAGAATGGGAAAAATGACCTGGACTTTTCTAATGAATTGAATGTTTTTTATAATTGTTTTAATGTCCATGGGTTCTGAAAAACTGTGCTGTCCAGCTGGCAGACATCATCTGCTTCATCTTCCAGTTGTCCTTACAGCTGCATAAGGTCCCTTGTCTTTGGAAGAACTCAATAATTGTTCCTGTGCCTAAGATTCAAACTCCTAAGACCCTCAATGACTTCAGACCCGTGGCACATCTCTTGTCATGAAAGCTTTTGAAAGGTTAGTGAAGGATGCACTTTTGGACACTGTACAGGATAAGTTAGACCATCTCCACTTCGCCTACAGGTCGGGCAGAGGCGTGGATGATGCAACAGGGACGCTTTTAAACATGGTTTTTAAACATCTTGAGGGGGGCACTCACTTGTCCATCTACTATTTATTGTCTTCTCCTCCGCTTTTAACTGCATTCAGCCCCATGTTTTAGCAGACAGGTTGAAGAACACTCATAACATTGATACTGGACTGATCTGCTGGCTGATGGATTTTTTAACAGTGAGGTCACAAAGGGTGAGAGTGAACGGTGTTTTATCAGATGCCCTTTTATCTTCTACTGGGTCTGCCCAGGGCTGCGTCCTCTCCCCTCTTTTATTTGTTTTATACACAAATAAATGCCAAAGCCATCATGAACGGCGCCACATTATTAAATTTGCGGATGACTCGGTCATTGTGTCCCTCCTCAGTAGTGATGACCCTGAACACTGTCCTGTAGTGAATGATTTTATTGATTGATGTAAATCCTTTTTAAAATTTTAATGTGGCAAAAACGAAAGAGATGTGCATAGACTTCAGTAGAAACCCCGCAGTCATTTCCCCTGTTGTAATGGACAACCAGCCAGTTGAACTAGTGCAGCAGTACAAATATCTTGGGACTGTGATCGACAGTAAACTGTGCTTTGAGTCCCAGGTTGATGCTGTGTGTAAAAAAGCTCATCAGCGCACTCAGTTTTAATGTCGACACTGTTTTTCTGAAAATGTTTTATTCCTGTTTTATTGAATCAGTTCTCACTTTCTCTTTTATCTGCTGGCACGGCTCACTTTCTATTAAGCAGAAAAATCACATGCCAGGTGTTGTGAAGGTACGCAGCAAAATTGCGGACACACCCTTAGATGACCTACATGACCTGTATAAGGTCAGATACTTGAAGAAGGCGAGAGCTATCCTGGCTGATCCCAGTCATCCTTTGTGGGGTGAATTTATGCTGCTGCCATCAGGGCGCAGATATAGTCTGCCACGAACAAGTAGATTAGGTCGTTCATACCAGCTGTTATCCCCATTGTTAATAGTACCCTGTAAATTCAAATTTAAATAATGTTGTACTGTGGTTGTGTTTCTTTGTTGTTGTTTGATTCATATATTTGTTACTGCTGGCTGTAATCCAAATTGCATACATTGTTATCAGCATGGTCTGTTCAGACTCACGTTACAGCAATGCATAATAACATAACATAACATAACTCACTAACATTAAACTCTCTTTTGGTAAAAGTGGGATCTAACGCTTACTTTTTAACAATGCCCTGATTGTGTACAGGACACTTTAGCACAATACATAATTAAACAATACCAAGAAGCAAAAGTATCACCAAACAATACATGAAGAAACAAAAAAAAACCCAAAACCATTGCTACACCCTAAACGATATGTATGGAGGTGCTTGTGTTATAAACCTATGAACCCATTACCTCACATATTACAGAGCTAGTGCAAAGCAGTGCATGTGTGTAGTTGCAGCTGAACATGGGGCAAAAACAAACACAGAGACAGACGGGAACACTCGAAACACAGTGAAGTGAAAGAACAAAAGGAGACACCAGAAAAACACCAATGACAATCGCATTAATCACCATTCATCCCTTGATCAAATGACATCGGCAGTGATGCAGGTAGTGTCTTCTGTTTCTGAGTAGCGGATGTCTATTAGGCCTAAATGTTACATCCATATGTGTATGTAGTAATAATACTATGCTAGGTCTGCCGGCTGAGACTTTATAGCTGTTATATTTTTCAGAGCACACAAATACTGTAAACACACACCTGTCACCTGCCCAGCATGGTACGGTTCCCCTCAAACATAGCTTGTACATCTTATTTTTACAGTTTATATGCCCACAGCGGGGTTAATAGCCGCATTAAAAAAAACAGCATGTACAGACAGTAACATAACTCATGCATGTCAGCAACAGTTAGCCTAATATAGCTAACTTGCTAATGTTGACATATCTTACCTGCTGTACTGTCCGCTGCTTTTTTTTCAGACGGTTAGCGCTCCTTTCACTGTTGACTTTGTATGTGAGGCCATATAGACAGAAAAGCTGTAAGCTTTTAGTTATGGTATTATAAATGATAAATGATGATAGTCCTCCCTCTAGCCAATTTATTAATGGCTAAATGCCCAATCCTAAATACCAAGTTCATTTTCGAATTTGACTTCTACTTTTGGATTTAGACTTTTAGTTTTCAATCTGACCCAATAATCCCTCCATAGAATTCATGCCTTGCATTTATTCATTTTAGCGGACGCTTTTATCCAAAGCCAGAGGTCAGAGGTCGCACACCTCTGGAGCAACTATGGGTTAAGTGCCTTGCTCAGGGACACATTGGTTGATGTGCTGCAGTGGGGAATTGAAACTGGGTCTCACACCAAAAGCATGTGTCTTATCTACTAGGCCATCACAACGCCTGGCAAATTCAACTGTATAAATTCAGGCTATGTTATAGGGACACAGCACACACTCACACACACACACACACACACATTTTCTTTGTCTTTAATTTTGTAGAAATTAACCAGAACATCTTATAATGTGCTGCTTTTCAGAAACAAAACAGAATACAAATGTGCTCAAAGCATAAAAGCATCAGACAGGAAGGGTTAAAAGCAGGTCATTATTCCAAATAGATAAACTTTCAAACCAAATAATTATTAATGTAAAGTGCAGCTTCAGTATTTAGAGAAAATGCCACATGTTAAGTTCAGAGAAATACACGCTATGGTACAGTAGCACTAATCAAATGAGGTAGATGATGGGCATACTGTAACTGTTCCTCAGACCTCAGAAGTTTTTTTTTTTAAGCCATTTGTTCAATCATATTTTATCATGTACATAACATCTGGATACATTTTTTGCAACTATAACATAAGTGGCACTTTAGGATTCAATTTAAGACTCATTCAAAATAATCAGTTAGTTAAAAAACATATTAGAATTGATTTCACATTTTATCATTGTATTAAAGAAATTTTTAGACTGAAAGCAGAGGGCGTCCCGTCACCAACAGAGGCAGAATCAAGTCATAGAGTAGTTAAAGCAGCTTTAAGCCTACACTAGCTCTCAAATTTAAGGTTGTTGATTGTTGACATTAATTTGTGCTCGTCACATCTATGAAAAGAGGTGGAGACACATAGAGAAGATGAGGAGATGGAGGAAAAACATGGGGGAGTGAGCAGGAGCGTCCCCGCTGGTAGTGAGTGTATTGGTGGCAGTTGTGCTGCTGCTGCTGGTGGTGTTGGTGGTGTTGGAGGCTGGAGATAAGAACGTCCCCACTGTCTGAGCCAGGAAGGACTGAAAGTGGCTGAGTTTGGTGAAGACCATCACTGGATCTGCTCGTGTTTGACTGGTGCTGTTGTTTTCAACTGACAACACTGCTGCCTGGAACCAAGAGCCGCCCTGCTTACACATCAATGGACCGCCAGAACCACCCTGAACAAACAAGAAAAACAGATATGTTCAAGAAAATAATGTTCTTTTTTTAAGTTTCCCCAAATGTGTTAGACATACAGAACTTCCTTAAGTTAAAAGTGACATGTTTTTTCCCCCTTACTACAAGAACTCTCTAATGTTTGGTAAATGTTAAGGATAATTTAACATCTGGCCCAGGGACACCAGTTTGCCAATTGCCTTTTAGCTACAACTAGCACATGTACAGTGATGTTGATCCATGTGCATTGCCCCTGAAAATATATGATTGATAATGAAATATAAAAAAAAATATGAAGCCATACCCAGCAGTCAGTCAGCTTAGAAGACTGGAAACAAAAAACTGTTTGTGTAGTACTAAATAGAGCTTAAGTATAATAATCTCCTGCTCTCATTACTCACCTGCCCCAGTGTGAAAGAGTTTGTACAAATGCTGTCACTCGTTGATACGTTTCCACAGCTTACCACAGAGGTCTGTAACTGCTGCAGAACTTGTTCAACTATAGTTGGAAAAAATGTGAAACATGAGAATCCAGCCCAGATGGCAGGAACCTAAACTAAGCAGGCATACTACTTTTACTAAATTTGTTAGTGCCAAAAATAATAAGCAACAGCCTCAATATTTAATCTAAAGAGGTGTCACGGTTTGAAGGTGAGCGCAAAGCAAGCGAGAGCCCAAATGCCAGACAAAGGATCGGAGATGCAGTTCACGGATTTTAACACAAACAAAAGCAGGATCTCAGAGTTACAGGCAATTGAGGAATCCAAAATCCACATACCAAGACAGCAGAGAAACAGGCAGGACGCTTCACACATAACACAACAGGGCGTAATCACACTACAATGACCAGACACACAAGCATGTATGTATACACCAGGGACTAACGAGCAAGGCACCCTGGTACAACCACTCACACTTAAGGACACCAATTAACCTAGTCCGCATGTCAGAGAGAACCCACGCAGACACGGGGAGAACATGCAAACTCCGCACAGAAAGGGCAACCGGCGTTTGAACCCACAACCAACTTGCTGTGAGGTGACAGTGCTAACCACTGCGCCACAGAAATATACTAATATAAATAACAAACTAATACAGACACCAGCAGACAGATCAACAATAAACTACAACCAACAGGGAAAACAGACAGACGCCAGGATTAAACAGAACACAGAGCAGACAAAGCCGAAATAATGCAAACACAGAACTAGGAGTAAATACAAAAACATAAACTAAGACACAGAACTAAAATGCAGGGCTAAACCTAAGAGACAAGACAGACAGGTACAAAGTGAGCTAAACAGAACCCGCAAATGAACAATGAAATACACAAGGCTAAACAGAGAACACAAGACCAGGAACTAAACCCCAAAACAGGAAACATGGACCAACTGACAAACAGAACGGGGTAGGGAACAGAGACAGGACCAACTAGGAAACAGGAGAACACTAAACATGGAACAGATCGGAAATAAGGAAAATACCAAAAAACCAGCTGACAGATCATAACCAGATAAACAATAATGTCAGGTAGAGGAAGCATAGCTGAACAAAACAGATTAACACAGAATGATAACCAAATGGATAACAAATCAGGCAGAGCTCACAATAAACACTACCAGACTGGACACAGGACAAAGATACTGAATTGATCAAATAACAAAAACTCACAGAGAGCTAAACTTAAACATAGCCGACAGGCAGAAAGTGACAAGAGGTTTATATAGAAATAATAATGATTATAATAATTTACTCCTGCATCCTTTGCACTCCGCTCAATACAGTATTTGTCAATCCGTCTATATTTTTCTATTTTTGTTTATAGTGTGTATATTTGTGTTCTCTATTCTGTAGCCTGTGTTTGTTTTTATTATAGTTTTTTTTTATAGTATTATTGTATGAGTAAGCACATCGTGAGCAATGTACAAAGTCAAATTCCTTGTATGTGTACACATACCTGGCAAATAAAGCTGATTCTGATTTAGCATTACTGTGTCAGACTGTGTTATGGACTCACCCCCTCCTTGCCCGGCGCTCCAGCCAGCAGCCCAGCACGTCAAACCCACAGTGAAGGTTTGTCCGTTGTCCAGGCAGATGGGCTGGATGTGGTTGGACAGGGTGGGTCTGGTTGCCAGACGCAGCACTGCTACATTAGACCCAGTGAGGTTGCTCAGAGTGATATTTGTCACATTCAGTGTCACCTCAAAGGGGTTGGATCCATTCTGATTCAAACGACCCAAAACGACAGTCCATTCAGACGGTATGGGTGAACTGTGGGAGATAAAATGAACTGAATAAGGACTGAGGAGAAATCAAAACTTCAAAATATCTGATTGGTTTTAAACAAGGACTGAACCTTTACAGATTCAGATTGTTTCTCATTAACAATCAATCTGTTGTGCAGACTCAAACCAACAACATTAAGTCTCTCAACAATGTCTGACTTCCTGTCTGTTTTATTTGCATTTTGAGGTATCGCATCAGAAAAGGTTTTTTTGAAAAAAAGTCAATCCGCTAAATGGTAGATGGAAACGAGTTCTGATGTAGCGAACATGTAACTCATGACTGATGTTGTCAGCGTCTTCCTGGACGTTCTCACAATGTGTGGAAACTTTCTTCATTCTTCTCAGATCCCTGGTCCTCAGGTCCATGCATAGACTTGCAACTGGTTTTCTTTCCGCTTTGCAACCCATAGTTCTTGTTTATTACAGCCATGTGTAAATTCAACTACCGACGTAACTACGCTTGCCTTTTGCCCCTTGCCTTTTTTTTTTTGCTGCAAACCAGCTGATGGAAACGCACCTAATTCGCTTTGTTTTGTTTTTTTGCGACATTTCAAAAGCTCGCTTAAATTTCACATGACAATCAGATAAAAACGTGGCATGCGGCTCTCACCTCCAAGCTCACAGGTTCCTACTGAAAAAGCCCTCACAAATATATAGCTGTATGTTTCAAAAGACTAAGTAATGTTCAAAAATAGCCGCTCAATGTAGTGTGTAATGTGTTTTTTTATTAAACAAAAAGGAGGAAATAGTGCATTTGTTAGGGACAATTTGTGTTCATGGTGGTGAAGGAATGTTTGACTCTGTGCATGTGATTTGAAGAAGAAAAATACAGATGTCTGGGAAGCCACTGGCTTTCATTCATTTCACTACAGCATGACTTCAAATATGCTCATCAACAGTAGTCTGAGCAGTAAGCATCATATCTGAATACAGATCAATTTGAATGTCAGTGTTGCGTCATACAGCATGTAATTTTGATTTAATGGCAGACATGATGCTCACTGTGATGATTACAGAGAGAGAGTCATCTGTAGGCTTATCTTGGTTCATGATTTCAATATTTATTCTGTTCCCTGGTTTTACTTTGTCACTCAACTCTCCTCATTTCAGATCACCTCACTTTCTGCCCCTGTCTAATCCCCTGTGTAAATGTCCACCCTGCCTTCATTAGTTGCACCTGTTCCAATTCCATTATTTGTCGCTTATTATCTTTATGTGATACTTAATGTGTAATATTATCTTTTTTAATACTTAATGTGTAATAGTCTGTAGTGTGTAATGTAGTAGTGCTTCAATTCTGCTTCTATTTATACTATGTTCATCATTACAATTCTATTAATAATAATATTGTACATTTTGGTCTACCTTTATATTATTACTTATGTTTATATTTTTCCTTTATATTTTATATTTATACTTTTTATATTGATCTATTTCTTTTCTTACCAAATATTATAGCTCGCCCTCGCCCTCACCCCCCCTCGCAAACGCTACCTTGCTATCATGCTATACTAAAATGATGAACATTAAACATTATGCCTGACATGTTAGCAATGTCATTGGGCACAGCTGTGTAGTACAGCCTCACAGAGCTGCTGTAGATTCTTGTCTCTGACTCAAACATTAAACAGACGTCATGCCATCCAGGACATCACTCCAGGTTTCTCACCTTGAGAAGCAGTTGGCGTTGCTCAACACAAAGTCCAAAGCCACCAGAGTCCCGCCACACACATGTCTTCCATTGTTCCGTAGGCTCGCCATCGATGGCCAAACACCAGCTGTCGCCACAGAGCTTCCTCCCAGAACACCTGAATTCAGTGGGGCTTGGCCACAGACCACAGCTGGAGAGAAGAGCAGAAGGTAAATAGCCAAAAATAAATTTTTTACGTAAAGCCTTTCAATCTCACACCAGACACTGTCGACCCACCATCACAACATCACATAGTTTAGTCAAACTTTTTTTCAAACCCACGGAATTTTGTTTTAAATTATAGTGGAGAGAACCAGCTGAATTTTGGGGGACATGTGGGACAAAATTATACACAAAACATCTGGGATATTTTAGCCTGATGAAAAATTGCAGCCATAAAAAATATGGAGTCTTTAATTAAAATTTTTCCCTGAGTGTAAACATCAGACAGCTTCAATAAAGAGCTGAAATAAGCTGATATAGAATACATGAAACTGGTGTACTGTGTGCAAGAAAACTATCATATTTCCAAAGACAAATGGAGGTTTAAAAATCAGTGTTCACAAACTCTGGGCTTGGCAGGCACTTACGTGGGGCTGTGGTTGTTGGAGCGAGAGTTGTTGAAGTGAGAGTAGTTGTAGTTAGTGGCAGGTCAGAACAGGTGACGTTGAGGTCACTGTCAGTCCCATTGGACGTGAAGATGATGTAGCCTGGCTGGTTGCTGGTGATCTGTTTGTTGATCCAGGACTGATACTGGGACACTCGGGTGTAGACCCCTGGGAAATTAGGCAGGGCACAGCCTCTTCCAAAACTGACGACTCCCTCCTGGATCCAGTGACCGCCCTGCTTGCTCACCATCGGACCTCCTGAATCCCCCTTTAAAGAGACAAACATTTAGCAGAAGGAATCTTTGCAGAAGGTCAAATCTGACACAAACACACAGGTAAAAATGATCACCTGACAGGAGTCCTTCCCTCCAGCACTTAACCCGGCGCACATCATGTTGTCTGTGATCCTGCCCACTCCATAGTTACAGTTACACTGTCTGTTCCCCACAACCGGCACCTGCACCTCCATCAGGTTTCCTGGGGAAGGAAGGGGCACTGAAGAGAAACAAATTCAGTTTAGTAAACAACACAAGTGGTGAAATGTGGTTAAAACTTTTTTTATACAAAATTGTGTAATTACTACATCAGTTGGTCTGCGGCAAACCTCAAGTACTCTCAACATTAGGGACTAACACTAGAATCAAGTAAAATCAATGCTATTATTGATGTTCTGGTGCTGTTAAAGTTATTTAAGCAGTTTACGTCACGCCTAAAGGTTGTAAAAAAAAAATAACATTTCTTTTTTTAAAATGTATTCAGCAGTTTTCCATGAGCACATTCATGCTCCATCACATAAACCCTTTTGATTTGAATGGTACCCTGTGGAAATTTTGTTCCATAGTAACACTATGGAACAATTTTACAAGGAAGATGTTCGAGATGACTGCGGCTGACTTTCGCCGACTTGATAGTTAAACATGAGCTGCTGGCGACTGCAGAGGCAGAGTATTAAAACTGCGCCTGTGAGCTTAGAACAACAACTGATCTCACCGCGAGAACAGTCAAAAGGCTGCGTGTAATATAAAAAATACAAACGTATTCACAAGACTGTGTGTTTGCTAATGTCACAGACAGATAAGGTAAAAGTATCCCTACAGACAGTTAGTTTCAGTAAAGTTTGGTTGCTCCGCTTGGTAAAGGAGAATTTTCACATTGAAATATTTGAGAAAATACAGTTGTTGCCATTGTAGTCAATGTACTCCAGGTGCTTTCTGACCCACCTCCAGATCCAATGTCGCCCCAGCCGGTGACCCAGGCTGCAGTGCCGTTGTAGAAGGTGCTGCCTGGGGCTGCCAGGCAGACGGGCAGGATGAAGGTGTTAAATGTCACCGGTGAGGAGAGCTTCAGCAGGCAGATGTCATTTTCTTTAGTTCCAGAGTTATAGCTGGGATGAATGATGATCTGTGATACTGTCTGAGACACTTTATTGGTGTTTGATCCCTGTAGACTCTGGAGACCCAGAACCACAGTCACAGCCTTTGGGTCTGTGCTGAGGTGATCAGAAGAGAAACAAAACAATGCAAAGACATGAAAAGCAGAATGTAGTCAAGAGCACTTCGGCAGACACTAAGTTAATTTTAAAGGTTCAGTGTGTAATATTTCTGAGGATCTATTGACACAAATGCAATAAAAAATCCATGTTTTTAATGGTGTGTAAAGACCTTACATAATGAACCGTTATGTTGTTCCTCTTACAATGAGGTCCCCATGTTGCATCGTCACGTTTCTACAGTAGCTGAAAACGGACAAACGGCGCTACAGAGCGAGTTTCGTCACAACATTGAAAAAGAAGAAGAGCGAATAAGAAGAAATAAATAAACACAGTCTCTGAGTAGTCATCTGGTTTATTAGAAGTAGGAAGAGAAGTGAAATTTGGACAAATGGGGGACAAACTCATTATTTAGCACGAGCCGACAGCCTGTGGATCTTCGTCGTTAATGAAGTGAAAACACGATGAAGCCAGACGAAGTCGGGACAGATGACAGCAGAAATTAGGGATTTAATCCATGTGGATTTTCCCAGATGGAAGGTGTTGATGCGGGACAAGTGTTTGCGAAGCACCTGTTTTCTGCTGGACAGGTAATTAAGTCCAACTTAAGCAATGCAAACAAAAACTGTTGTTTGAGAGCTTTAGCCAGAAGCTGACCATAATCACACAGAGAAGTAACATGTTTCACTTTGAAACAGTTGGATTCATTTTATATCTATTCTCCATCACTGTGTCTTTGCTTTGCAAAGTGGACAGAAATATGCCACCACGTTCGTGAGACAAACAGCTGAGAAGTATTATTGGCAATAAAACTGTACAGCATGAAAGTTCAGATTAGCAGCTAAACATTTTACTGCCCTGATGGAAAACACTTTTTTTTTTTTTTAAATGCGAACAGTGTTACAATAACAAGAGGGTGTGCCTATCAAGTGACCAATAATGCTTATACTTTCAGAATTTGCATCAAAAAAATCTTACCTATTTGTTCGTGTTGCTTTGCTGCTGTGCACACAAATGTGTATTTTGATAATTCACATGGTAAATGCCCATTAAAAATGTTAAACGTTGCACCGTTTTTACCACAAGGTAAAATTATGGCTATTAGTACTACTTTGTGTTTCTATTGTATTTCAAAAATTTAACGAGTTATTTTGGTAAGATTTACAGATTGCTTGTCTATTGAACAAAGTGGAGTGTTTATAATTTAGTGGAGGGTTTATAATGAAGTGTGGTGGTGAGTAAGGCTTACATTTTCCTGTCATCTGTCATTTGCTTTGGTATGTTAGACTAGATGAGCCAACCCTCCCAAATCTCGCAAACCTCACCACTAGATGTCACTAAAACTTACTAACTTAACCTTTAAGTCCATCCATCCATTGTCAACCAGGGGGGCTGGAGCCTATCCCAGCTGACATTGGGCGAAAGGTGGGGTACACCCTGGACAGGTCACCAGTCCATCGTAGGGCAACATATAGACAGACCACCACTCACACCTAAGGACAATTTTAGAGACACCAATTAACCTAACCTGCATGTCTTTGGATGGTGGGAGGAAGCCGGAGCACCCACAGAGAACCCACGCAGACATGCATAATCCACACAGAAAGACCAGGGCAACCGGGGTTTGAACCCACAGCCTTCTTGCTGTGATGTGACAGTGCTAACCACTGCATTACCTCGCCGTTTTTCTTTAAGTCCATGTCTAGTCTAATTTATATGTTGATGTTTATGTGCTCAAAATACTTTTTCAGGACCTCGGAAGTTTTTTCCTCCAATATATAATTTCCCCTGCAGCCTTCACATACAGTCCATGATCTTTGTCTCTTTTGCCATGAGGACATCCAGAAAACTAAAGATGATTTTAATTTTAGCACTGCCAGTGTACATGTCAAAGATATTACAGCCAAAATTTGTGGTCTAGGGAGAGGTAACAAATACACATGTAATTAATAATTATATTATAATAATTATTTTAATTGGATGGCACGATTCATTAATGAGCACAACTTGGTAAGTTGAAGGCAATCTCTGAACCCATCAGCCATAAAATAAAATAGAAGATAATTATTGTCTGACGACAATGTAGCCTTTGTGGTAACGTTTTGTTTTTTCCGACCAGATTTTTGAGAACCATGCCTCTGACTGGAAGTTGTTTAACTCTCGATCATATCGAGTCCCTTCAGATTTATCTGACCCTCAGTTGGGAACCACCGTTAGACAGGCTGTTTATTCCACTGCATGGCATGTTGTCTTTTGTTGCAGCCCGACCCTCAGTGCTTACCTTGCGAAGCAGTGAGCAGCAGTCAGCACCCATAGATTGTTAATGAGGGATCCTCCACAGAAGTGGAACCCTGTAGAGTCTTGCAGACTGGCCTGCCAGGGCCAGCTGCCTTCAGAGGCCACCTGTCCTCCAACAATCTTGGTGTTGAGCTTAGGCTGACCACAAACTGAGGAGAGAGACAATAAAGACACAGGGTAAGAGATCCAGGGTTTACAGCAAATACTAACTATAATGAAACTATAAACAAAATGTTTACGTCCCAAAAACATGTTTAAAATGTCCCAAATGACAGAGGAGTACAAGTACAGGGAGTAAAACATGAGCATAGAAACTTTGACTTACCATCTATTTGTGAGTGAGACTCTGAAAATAGAAAACAAACAAAAAACACTTTTGAAACAACAACTTTGTATTTATATTTAGTGATGTCTCCATGGCTATATTGACACGTGGGAGGAAATTTCTGATCATCTGAAACATTTATTATTAAACTGATTCAAACACAAGATTTTTGATAATTGACAGACTTTTAGCCCCGTGCTCAGCTAACAGACAGGAAAATGATTTGCCCAAAGTGACTTCAAATGTCTTGTTTTGTCTGACCATCACTTCAAAATCCAAACATATACAGTTTTCCATAATAGAAGGCAAAGAAAACTAGCAAATATTCACAGCTGGGAAGCTGGAAGCATTGAATGTTTGTCTTTGGCTTTTAAAAGGACTTCAAACAATGATCCAATCAACAAAACAGTTGCAGATACATTTTATGTCAGCTGATGATTTAATCAACCAATCATTTCCACTCTAAGTCTTAGGCTACACTTCCCAACAGTGTTTTAAAGGTGTAACCTCGACATGAAGATGTTATCATTGAAGATATGAGATGTAATTCTTGTGTTTTCCCTTCAATTCCCGTAAAATGTGTAAATGTTACTTGTCATTATACTAACATTAGGTGAGAGGACTATGATGAATGTTTTACTTCTAGCTAAAAAAAACATCCATACATTTAAATTTACTGTAACTGTTTCCATGAATGTCAAAAATGTCAAGAAGGAATGTCTGCAGATGGAGCACTCTGCCTGAATCTGTCCTGACAGGTATCTCAGGCCTGACAGGAAATCTAAGGATCACTGACTGGCAGAGTTTAACTGTTTAACGTGTCCTAATACCTAAACAACATCATAGGTTGATTATCAGTAACTCCCAAAATGAGATCACCGCTGGAAAGTATCATAAGTCACGTGACGCTCAACACATGGTTAAGCTGTGAAATAGTTTTGTAAGGTTTAGGAAAAGATCATGGTTTGGGTTAAAATACGTTACGTAAGCCGTGTAAATCATGTGACTGAATTTACAAGACATAAGTCAGTAACGCTATTTATTTTAACGCTCTAAATGTGTTGACTTGGTCTTCCTGCTGAGTGAAAGTCTGTGTTTGACCCATCTGTCTGTCCGTCCTCCTCCTTAAGGCCGATTCTATGTCGAGTGTACGCATGTAGCCACGCCGTCCATGAGCATTTATACTTTTGGCAGTGCACTGTTTTACTACTGCTTCTTCCAGAGTGAAAGTCTACAGGGAAATGATTTAGCAACTAGTAGAATGCACTTCCTGGGGGCTTGGAGGATTTGCAATTCTATCAAGTCGACCAATCACAGTTTGCATCGCCACGATGTGGTGAACTCATCACCATTCAAATGCACTTCCCAATGTGCAACAGTAAGTGAACACATCATCGGACAAACGCACCTGAGTACCAAGAGGGAAAGTGAAGCCAGCCAGAATCATCTGTTTTTAATCCAGATTGTTGCATGTAATCCGTCACCTCTCTTCCCTTATTTCCTCTCATCTCATCACTAAAAAAAACAACTAATTCCCCCCAAAAGCCAGTTCACAGATTAATTCTGATTATTATTAATTGGCTTTGATGATTTAATGTGTGTCATTTATAAAAGAACTGTGCAGAACTGTCTTAGCTATCGAAACCTGATTGTTTTGTCTCTAAATATGTATATTATTTTCATTTTGTCTTAAAGATTTCAATTCTAGAATATTTATACTAATCTGTGGGACCTGAATGGTACTTTTAACAGTAAGAGCAGGTTTGTCTACATTAAAGTCATCGAGGCATCCTTACTGTCTGCTACGTAGCAGAAAGGAGTTACAAACTGAATTTCATTGTATTGTGACAAATAAATTAACCTTGTAGCTTGTTTTTATCTGTATGGTCCATCGTGAATTACAGTAGGTATGTGGACACACACACACACACACACACACACACACACACACACACACACTGACAGCACTCTGTAATGTAAGGGACTAAAAGTTAGTGAAGGCAGCTGGTGCCCGGAAGGTTTTTGATTCTACTCAAAGATCAATGAGCAGCATTTTATCCCAAAGGGAAAACAACAGCACAACTTCAACTTTATATAGAGGACGTAAACTGGGATTTTAGTTCATTGTAATCTCAGTCTGCTTTATGTTGTTTGGATGTGTGCGTTTCTTTTTTAGCAGAGTTTATTATGAAATATGGTTTAATGTTGTGAGGATTTATTTCCTGTGTGTTGGTAATCAGCGTTGGTTGATTAGGATGGCAGGTTTATATTTTCCATCTTTAATAGTTAAATTGATATAATTTAATAGAATAAATTGAACATGACTGTCGTCTCTGCCTACTGAACACCGCAGAGCACCTTGACAAGACATTAAACCCTTAAACCAGCTGGTCAGTCTGTTGGAATGTGATGTCTGTAAAACTTTCTGTAAATCTGTAATCACACTGTGTTGGTGCAGTGACCTCAAATATTCCTTAAAACAGGTTAAAGTTGCTGTGATCTATCAGGTTCCCTTAAATGGCTAAAATAAAATCCAACAATATTTCTTAATTTGCATGCTTACTCTTACTTCAAGGACAGACTGAAGAGAATAAGAAGGTTTTATTAAGGATCAAATTACACAACTATAGGCATTACAGTGACTCATCCCGTGCACATGTCACCTTCATGTCAAATATATTTTCTAAGGTGGCTTTAAGTTGCAAAATGAATGGACTTTCTTGGATTGACTGAATGTGTTTGTACCATTAAGTTAGTTTCTGCAATCAAATGAATCTATGCCAAACTTCTCTGAAATTAATTAAAGAAGGCACAAAAGGGGAAGAAGAACACTTCTTCACAACTTAAAGTTTTTTTACTTTTATGCATTTATACATATTTCTTTTTAAACATTACGTAAATCTAGCTGGTTGTTTTTGCCGTCTAAAAATCCTTTCCTCCCCAAAACTTAATGAGTGGCACAATGACTTTTAGAGACTCTCCTAATTATGATGATTTGATTCAGTGGGACAGGATCCACCGAGCACTTCGGTTTACTATGTTTTATTGTTACAGATTTGTGATACTTTTTCCTCTTAACAACTACTTTTACTTAATTAAATGATTCTACTTCCTCCTCATACAGCGATCATTGGATCTTAAACATGATTAACTCAGGTGTGTGCAGAGAGGAGGGTTCTTACCTTGTGTCAGGAGAGTCAGCAGAGTCACCGCACAGATCACTTTGTAGAAAGCCATCGCTGTATGTACATATGATCAGATCTGCACCTGCATAAATAACCTTCTTCTCCCCTCCCTCTCCCCCTCTCTCTCCCTCTCTCTCCCTCTCTCTCTCTCTCTTACATACATATCACCTGTTTCGCAGCATTTCATATGCAACATTTCAGCATCTCTAAGCTAAGCAGCCCACATTTAACACGACACTACTACTATATAGTACTGCGTAGTACAATATTGGGGTATGTTACTTTAGTATTTCCATTTCATGACACTTATAGTTGTACTCCATATGTACTGCATGCACCTGTAGAAAATACTAACTTTTGAGGCCCAAAGAGGTCAAATTATCCACTATCAAGAAAAGTCCAAAAACTGTAAACAGATTTGTTTATCAGCACTTTGTTTTTCTTCTTTCCTCTCCCAGTAATCATCTCACGACCCCTCAGATTTATCTGGTGATTCTTTGGAGGGGCCTAGGTTGGGAACCACTAGCTAACTGTATATAAAGTAGTTAAACTAGCAAACTGTAAAATGAATGTATAAAGCACTGAATGGTTTAGGGCCAAAATACATTTCTGATCTTCTGCTTCGTTACGAACCATCCAGACCTCTCAGGTCGTCTGGGATCAGGTCTGCTTTCTGTCCCCAGAGTCAAAACTAAACAAGGAGAAGCAGCGTTCAGTTATTATGCTCCATATATCTGGAACAAACTCCCAGATAACTGCAGGTCTGCTGAAACTCTCTGTTCTTTGAAATTAAGACTGAAGACTTTTCTTTCAACCACTGCTTTTAATTCAATTAAATTAAAGCCATAGATTGGTACCTTTCACTGCACTGTAACGTCTGGTCTTCATTTTCTTTGTTTTTAGATTTTCAGTTCCCCTGATTGTACACTGCACTGTAACTTTTACTATCATATTTAACCCTGTTTTTTATCCTGTTTTTATAATGTGTTTTATTTTTTCAATTTCCCTTTGTTGCTTTTATGTTTTATGTAAATAACTTTCAATTGCCTTGTTGGTGAAATGTGCTACACAAATAAACTTGCCCTGCCTTACTTAAAATAGAGTAAATTGCCGTATTAGTACTTTTACTTCAATAGCCTGAATAATCTACACACCTCTTCCACTACGTTTTAAACCACTACAAGAGTTCAAACTATTAAATTAGTGCTTCAGTGCTCGTGTTGATTGATTTAAACATCAGTTAATCTTGACATGTTTTTCCAGTTTGTTGAAATACAGAGCCAAGGACGGGGAAGTTCATTTGACAATGAGCTACTTTAAAGTATCCAAGTCTCAGACTACCCTTCTAGAAAACAGAAACAAGGCTGGCAGGCTTCAACAGACCGAGATTCATGAATCTCACCTGGCAACATTCTACATCTCTGCATAGTTTGGTTGAAGTGAATGAATTTGATTCTCTGTGAATGCCGTCCAAGCTCCTCTCACCTTACAGGTGTGACACATGTATTTTTGCTTTTCTATCACAACTCATGTGTACTGTTTTAGAGATACTATTTAGACTTATTTTGACTAAAACTCAACTGAAACTCTGTGTTTTACACAGCTGTGGAAGTAGATCCATCCTCTTTTCATTAAAATGCAGAATTAGTAATAGCAGTGTACTATTATATATGATTAGTACTTCACTTAGTAGTACTTAGTAAAAGTACTCATTATTCAGAATTATCCCTTCTCTATTATAATATACATTATATTTTTGAGTTGTTATGATTGATGTGTTAATCTGTAAGCAGCATTTAAATATTTGTAGATGGACGAGGTGGAGCTAAATTAAAGTGCTTTATATCCTGCTGGGAAGAACCCTGCACACATTTCAAATAGTGACACAGCTTCTTCCATAGATTCATCGTGAAGTTGAAGGAAGTAAGAAGTATCAGGGAAACATACACCACTGTTCTTGTAAGTGACACAGAGCGGCTGAATGTTACTGATTCACCTCTAATCTCCATCCATCTGCACTGACAGCCGGACCGAGTCCTGTTGCCTGCTCAGGAAGGAACTGGTTAAACAGCCTCAGGCTTCCTGGCAACAACTGAACTTGACTTAGAACAAGATGAGCCAGTAAACACTGTCAACACCATAAAAGCCAAATGTCATGGTACACGGCTTTTATTGTAATCTCTAAGATCCCTTTCTTAAGTACCAATACTACAATATAAAAAAATGTTCCATTAGAAATCAAAGCTTTGTTTTCAAAATTCTACTGAACCTCTAAGTTAAAGTACAGAAGTAGGTATTAAATATACTTAAATTACCAAAACTAAAAGTAACGTAGCCCAATGTAACTGATGGCATACTTTTGATTTCTTTCTGTGTGATTGAGCTGTACACAAAGCAGAGCCGTACCAGGGTTTATAAATTAACAAGGGGCAGAGGGCAAAGCACTGCGTTTGATTGGAGAACACACTAACAACAGGCTCTTCCTCTTGGTCTTTTGTCCGCACTTCTTGGTTCACTAACATAAGAGATACAGACACACAAGTTATGACCAAGTAGTGCAAATGCAACAGAGTAATCTTAGTATACTGGTATGTAGTTTAGGCCATGTTTTTATGTTACATGTTGTTTTAAGCACTGGGGCTAAAAGTCAAGGTTTCGGTAGCTAAGATTTCGGTACAGTGGCCCCAGCAATGTTAGCTATTATGCAGTAGCCTACACAGAAGTCTACTGAATTTTTGGTGTTGCGCCTTTTGCCTTTAAACAGGAGATAATTCCAGCCCTCAGCTTCAAGGGAAGTTTCTTCATCTGTCTCTGTAAGAAATGTCATCACAGGACTGACATGTACAGACCACATAATGGGCACTATTATTACTATATGACAACATAAAATGCAGCAGTTGACTGCTGATCGCAGTGGATGCTCGAGCTGATTACAGCCTAACAATTAGACGTCAGCTGCAGTTTTGAATTGTGCTTTTAAATCACCTTCTCACATAGTTCACATAGTTACTGTGCTGTTTTTTCCATGACTTGTCACAAACTGGATCTGCCATTTTGACAGTAATAACATTTAAATATGTTCACAATGTAAGTATTATGAGTAGGCCGCCTGTGACATAACCCCCCCCCCCCCCCCCCCCCTCCCCCCGCATTTCATCATCTAAAGCACTGATGGTAAATGACTAAAAAACACCCTGTAGAGTCACAGGTGTTATGTCATGTTAGGATAAACAAACTCAGATTTTAATAAACCCGCTTTCTGGACTTCACGCCAGAGCTATACATTATACTGCCTCAATGCTTGACTCAAACTGATAATAATAATAATAATAATAATAATAATAATAATAATAATAATGAATTACATTTACATAGCGCTTTATCATAGATACTCAAAGCACTTCACAGTTAAGTGGGGGAGACTCACCTCAAGCACCACCAATGTGTAGCACCCACACAAAAAACCCTAGAGTGACGGTGTCTGCCCCCAGACCATCGAAATTATTTAAATCAAAGATAAACAGAAGAGGAGCTGTGCATAAAAACCTCATGAAAATTAAAACCACAAGAGCAAACTTTAGAGTTCATTGTGGACTCTTAAACATCACATCTTACTCTTCTAAATGTGTACTAGTAAATGAACTAATATCTCACAGCGCTTTTCATAAGAGCAGGTCTAGACCGTACTCTATGATGTTATTTACAGAAGACCAACAGTTCCCACCAAGAGCAAGCACTAGGCGACAGAGGCAAGGAAAAACTTCCTTTTAAGAGGCTCGAAACGTCGAGCAGAACCATGGCTCAGGGTGGGCGGCCATCTGCCTCGACCGGTTGGGGGTGAAGGAGAGAGAGAGAGAGAGAGAGAGAGAGACGACAAGAGAGAGAGAGAGAGAGAGAGAGAGAGAGACGACAAGAGGGAGGAGAGAGAGAGAGAGAGAGAGAGAGGGGAGGGAGGCAGCCTACACAATATACACACACAGAGGTACAGACAGTAAAGGTGATGTTGCTATAGACTAAATGAAAAATGGTACAGATATTTATAGTAGTGTTAATGATAACAATCGTAATGTTAATGATTATAATAACAATAACAATAGGACTAGTAACAATCGTCGTTGCAGCAGAGGGTGTCGAGCAGGAACACTGGGTCGGCAGGTGACCCGCAACCACAGATCCAGACTCCACAGCTCCAGAGCCAGAAAACCTGCAGGAAGTGATAGGAGGAGAGAGGAGAGGGACGAGAAAGCACAAGACTACCGGAAAGGGGAGAAGTTGTGTTAGTAACATGCAATAATGGGATGAGGTTGCATACAGAGGGAGAGAAAGTAGAGGAGAGAGGAGCTCAGTGCATCATGGGAAATCCCCCGGCAGTCTAGGCCTATAGCAGCATAACTAAGGGATGGTTCAGGACTCACCTGAGCCAGCCCTAACTATAAGCTTTATCAAAGAGGAAAGTCTTAAGCCTACGCGTAAATGTGGAGATGGTGTCTGCCTCCTGAACCCAAACTGGAACCTGGTTCCACAGGAGAGGAGCTTGATAACTGAACGCTCTGGCTCCTAGTCTACTTTTGGAGACTCTAGGAACCACAAGTAACCCTGCATTCTGGGAGCGCAGTGCTCTGGTGGGGTAGTAAGGTACTATGAGCTCTTTAAGATAAGATGGTGCCTGACCATTAAGAGCTTTGTAGGTAAGAAGAATGATTTTAAATTCTATTCTGGATTTTACTGGAAGCCAATGCAGAGAAGCTAAAACAGGAGAAATGTGATCTCTTTTCCTAGTTCCTGTCAGAACACGTGCTGCAGCATTCTGGATCATCTGAAGAGTCTTAATGGACTTTTTCGAGCAGCCTGATAATAAGGAATTGCAGTAATCCAGCCTAGAAGTAACAAATGCATGGACTAGTTTTTCTGCATCATTTTTAGACAGGATGTTCCTGATTTTCGAAATATTACGTAGGTGAAAAAAGGCAGTCCTTGAAATTTGCTTAATGTGAGACTTAAACGACATGTCCTGATCAAAGATAACTCCAAGATTCCTCACAGTGGTGCTGG